GCTAAGCCCTTAGAAGCAATTCCTTATCATCTCATAATGTTGCTTTGGTCAATGAGCTTGGCTTCTACCATCTTGCTTTCTTGACATTTTACTTTGGCTGTCTTCAGCACATTTTCTTCTGTGTTCTTCGCTTTCAATTTCTAGCCTTTGCTCTTGCTAGTCTGATGAATAGGCTAACAAAACTCAAGGTGTGTGTAGAACAAAGCAAAATTCAGTGAGTGGTAAAATACAAATGTGTCAGCTTGTCATTTCACCAGGCACAAATTGCTACTTTTTGTGAAAGAAGTTACAGTATTTGCTGATCTGCAAACTTGGCTGAGGCTAAGTAAACCAAACACCTCAGGCCTGCAGACCAGTGGAGGGATTCTTTCTTGCTTTTAGAAGAAAGGAAACACACACACACACACACACACACACACACACACACACTCACTACCTCATACTGCTCAGAGGAAAAAAGACATGGTCCTGCCTATTTCCACACGGGGAAGGTGTTGCATCTCTCTCTATTTTGTAAAAGCCAAATCCATCCATTTTTTTTTGTAGGGGAATGGCTCTAGCATGGTTCCTGTAACGTTGCACATATCTAATTAGGCCAGGTAGACAAGGCCTCCCTGCAGGTGATCTAAGTCTTAACAGAATGCCCTGTGATCCTCCTGGAACATGACAACTTGGAGGCTCCTGAGGAGCTGCTACAGGTCATTTTTCATTTGCCTGCAGACCTCCCCCAGGAGTTTACCCTGAGACAGTTTCTCATTGCCTCTTGGCAATGAGATTGAGGCATTTCACTTCACCCTCTCTCTCCATCCCCTTTGAGTGCTACTGTAGGCTATAAAACAACATTGCTACAGCTGGAAATTGGCTCCTCAGGAACAGGGTAGCTGAGCTGACATCCACATTGCAGTAGCTGGTCCCTTTTGTTTCAGTGTCACCTTGTGCAATGGACACAGGGAGCTGGCCCCTTTAACTGCTTTTGTCTTTTGCTGTCTATGTAAGTAATAAACTGAATATTAAAAGGGCTATGCTCATTTTTTCTTTTATTTACAAATCTTTATTGTTGAAAGTATTACATATGTTTGGCAGAAGAGTAATAATTGTAACATTTTACTATGGCCAAAGAAATTTGGGATTTATAAAACAGTATGTATATCCAGTCTATGATAATAAAAACATAATATGCTAATTAGACCGGACAGCCGAATGACCTCCGGACGTCATTCCAGACGTCCTTCCGGATGAAGCTGTGACGGTGGGGGCTGAGGCAGAGGTGGTTAGGGGCAATGAGGCAAGCAGGTGAGCGGTTAGGGGTGATCATGGAGGCAGGCAGAGTGGTTAGGGGCAATCAGGCAAGCAGGCAGAGTGGTTGGGGCGATCAGGCAGGCAGACAAAGTGGTTAGGGGTGATCAGGCAGGCAAGCAAGTAAGCAGTTAGGAGCCAGCGGTCCCAGATTGTGAGAGGGTACAGGCCAGGCTGAGGGGCCCCCCCTCCCCCCGTGCATGAATTTCATGCACCAGGTCTCTAGTCCTATATAATAAAAGTGTAATATGCAAATTGACCAAACGGCAGAACAACTGGTCACTATGATGCACACTGACCACCAGGGGGCAGACGCTGAACACAGGAGCTTCCCCCTGGTGATCATTACGCTCCCACAGGGAGAGTGCAGTTCAGCCAGAAGCCAGGCTCATGGCTGGCGAGCGCAGCAGTGGTAGTGGGAGCCTCTCCTGCCTCCGTTGCAGGCAGGCGGTAAGGAGTGAGGGATCCTGGACTATGAGAGCCTGGACTGCAAGAGGGATGTCTGAGTGCCAGCTTAGGCCCCTGGGGGGATCGGGCCTATGCAGGCAGGTGGACATCCCCTGAGGGGTCCCGGACTTCGAGAGGGCACAGGCCGGGCTGAGGGATCCCCCAATGCCCCCAGTGCATGAATCTCATGCACCGGGCCTCTAGTATTATATAAAATGAAGGTCATATTTTTAGTATGTCTGAGAATACTGCATAAAAAATAAAGTAAGTTTGCTACCTGAAGCAGTGCTGTCGCATAATTGGTTTCTTCCCTCCAGAAAATTGAGAAATGAGTTGCTCAAAATAAATATCTTTGAATTCATTTTATTTATTTATTTATTCATAATTAATTATTTAGTTAGTTAGTTGACACTATTACAGATGTCCCCCATGAAAGCCAAAAGTACTATTCTGCCTGCCTTCCCTTTAATTCATTAAGCAAATATTTATGCCAAGCATGATTATAGCTCCAGAGACATAATGATGAAGAAGGCCAAAATCTCTTCTTTTTAGGATCTTACATTCTAATTCTAAGTATGCAGACTGGCTCCTTTCAGCCAGTGCTAGTTTCAGGTAATGTAATCCCTGTGAAAAAAGAATGAAACAAGGTGAAAAGAGACAAAAGGGATGACAGAACACTTTAGAATCAGCGGCAAGTAAAGGGTTGTCTTCAGGCTCCAGGTGCAGGCGACTTGGTATTTGCAGGCACTATATTGCTGAGTAGTTCTCTTGCTTTACAAAAATAATTAATTCATTGAAAGCTTTTATTGTTTGATATTATGTTTTCTCTTCCTGATAAATTTTAAAAGGTTCATTGCAAACTTATGTGATAATAAAATAAAGTCTTAGATTTGATTTACTTCTGCTGAAATGATAATATATGACAATTGAAAATATGATTAAGTTGAGAAATTACCACAATCTTTTAAAGAACACAGCTGTGGTAGAAAATGAGATATCTATATTTGCTTTAGAGCCATCACTGCTATAATGTTTTTGCAAAGCATATAATTGTAATGTAGTAAAATGTTTATGTGAAAATAAGAATGTTGAACAATCTTACCAGATCATCTTCAGAGTTTGTCAAATTGCTTTCTCGGTTTAGGAAAATAAAATATCTCATGTTGTGGTAGAAATAGCAGCAAATCCTTAAGTGGTATAATGGCCAACAGACTGAGCTCTGATGGAAATCACACGATGATATCTCACTGTTTTCAAACAAAACAAGAAAAATCATTGATGACAATTTTGTCAGCGTACTTGATAATTAAAATGCTTTTAAAATTCTCATGCTTTATTAAGTGCAATTGCTTTGCAATAATAAGTTAGTGTGTTGATTGGTATAGAGTAAATGTTATGTTACTGTGCATGCTCTGTTGTATCTATTTTAAATGTGTACGTTGAAGTTATTTTTTCTTTATTAACTGAACATAAAATATTCTCTTTTTTTTGTCAGTGATATGTATGGATACCAAAGGAAAATTTATTTATTTATTTTTCATCCATTAGACCAGGGACTGGGTTATATTTTTAATCCAGCAGGCAGCACACTTCTTGGCACATTAAGAGGAGCTCAGAAAATATTTTTTGAATGATTAAAATGCTACATGAAGTTTTTATGCACAACTTGGTAGATTTTTATGTTTGTTATTCCATCAAGTTGCTTTATTTTCTTGAGAGGTTTCAGATGTTTGACTTAGAGGTGTATCTTCCCACCTGTCACCACCAGTGCTTATGAAATTCGGACCCTTTACCTTCTGTACCTTCTTCTGGAGCATTTTTCAGAAAGATAAATGTTAAAAATGTTGATCAGTCTTCTCCAAGGATGCGTGTATGTGTATGTATGTGAGTGTGTGAGTACACAGTGTGGAGGGAAGGCTAATTAATAATACTTGTAGAGAATTTTAAAACTGTATAAGTAACAAATAAGAAAAGAATATTTACATTAATCTCACCACCCATGTATAGCCATTGCCAATATTTTGCTGTTTTGTTCCAACTGCTTTCCTATGCATGTGCTTGTATGTGTGGACACACATATATGCATAGTACCTTGCACAAAGAAGGTTTTTTATAAATATGTTGGATAAGGGAATGTTTTAATATATGTAATTTTTATTTTAAAATTTAAGATCATATTATATATACTATTATGTGTCCTTACTTTGATTTTTACTCATCACAAAAATTTCTCAAGATATTTTATTTGAAAATATGCATGTTGTAACTTCATAATCATACATATATGTACCATAGTTTATTTAACCTTTCTCCCATATTAATTTTTTTTGCATTTTTGCTATGATAATTTTATGTACATTTTACTATTAAGTTTTATCATGACTACTTTCTTAGCATGTAATAATCTTAGAGGAGGAGTTACTGGGGCATAGATTATAAACTTAAAACAATTATTAGTCCTTTTTGCCCAATTTTTATTATTTAAAGATGATATGTTATTGAATTACAAAGGATAGGTATTCATCTAGAAAATTTGGAAAGCGGGAAGATACATACACTTACATAGCCTTCCTCTGCCATTAACAGTGTGCTATAATGTAACTTTACAGCCAGTTCCTAAAATAACATGTCTATGCATGCATTTAATAACCCCCCTCTTAGTGGGCCTTTAGTTTGTTTCTCATTATTATAAAGAGCTCTAGGGTAAAAACTTTTGTGTTTGTCCCTTGGACACATCCACTGTAATTGTATTAAGACAAATACCTAGAAGAATTGCTGGTTCCAAGTTATGAATAATTTGTAAGGCTTTTGACATATATTCCACATTGCCTTCTGACAGGTCCCACTAATTGGCATTCACACCAAAAAAGAGGTAAAAGTTAAAGAAGATGATAAAAGAAGTTCTCAAGTCATTCACCTTAAAATTAACCAAATCATCTTGTAGAGAACCTGTACCTGTTCACTCTTTCATGAAGAGTAAGAAGGTCCCTGTGTACAGTGTTCCCCACCAGTCTCCTTGGGGTAGGCTATATTCATAAGCCTGTTCTAAAACAGGAAAAGCTGAATATGGGATAGTTAGATGACTTTACTCAATGCTCACAGAAAATGAGAGAGAAGGTTCTTTTTGGTTGCTGGGTCTTGTGATTACCAATTTAATTAATTTGCCTGCTTCTTGGGTTTATCTTCAAATTTCATTATTTTTCTGTCACTAATTGTTTCAAGAAAAGTCATTGTTTTTTGGTTTTGTTTTTCCCCAGTCCCTTCAGCGGCTGCACAGGACACGTGGTCTTGGGGGCAGTACTTGAAAGAACAGAAGGCTGTAGCAGCACCCGTTGAACTGTTTTCCCAGGTGAACTACTGAAGGTTTTATATTTTTATAAGGAATCGACACTTAAGCGAATTAATTAGAATTAAACTGTTTGCCTAGAGAGTACACCAACTTATCAGATTTGTAGCTGCTGGAAAGTGGCAAAACAAAGCTAATCATAGCCTCAGTGTTTCAGTGTGTGTGCGGCAGAGCTGGGCTCCTGGGTGCCATCACCTACCAGCTCCCAGTCCTTGGACAAGCCAGTCAGCTTCTCCGTGCTCAGTTTCCTCATCCATAAAGTAGGGAAAGTGCCATACCCACCTCCTTGGGTTGTTGAAGGATTAAATAAATTGTACATGTAAAGGACATGGGATGCAACATGCACAAGGTAAACCCTCAATAAGTGTTAGTCTTTCTTTTTATTAGTTGATATTACTTGCACTTTCACCCAAGAATCAAGCTACAGGGACCTGTTTTGATATGTTGCTTGGAGGTGGTAGGTCAGGCAACATGTTAGAGGAGACAGTGAGACACCTACATCATGTCCTACCTGACTGTGAAGATGCCCAGAACTTGACGAAGTGACTCCTGGCACAGGGGGCGTGCAGCTTCACGGGATCATCTTTACCTAGATACCCAACCTTCTGTTGCCCTATTCTTCACAGTTTGTGTTTTCAGTATTTCAGGGACAATTTAATTTATAGTATGTAAGTCTGTTACCTGATGAACAATACTAGCAATGTCCAGAATAAGCTTTATTCTCTCACCACACAGCTTTCTAGTGCACTTCCAGCTTTCTCCTTTCCTCCTCTCTACTCCCAGTCCCTCTGCTTACCATTTTCACTGAGCTAATCCCTTCCTATCATTCAAGATTCATCTGTCCTTCCTCTAAGAAGCTTTACTGAACAGCTACTACCACCACCACCCCCAAGATGTCAGGGAAGCATTCTCTGGCCTCAGAATTCTATATACAATTCAATCATTACCTGGATGATAATTTTCTAACTCTAACTCTATCCCTCCTTCATTAGGATGGAGAGACTTTGCCTAATATATCTCTGAATTTCCAAAGTTTTGCACAATGCCTAGTACATGGTAAAATATGTACTCAATACATATTTTAATGAATAATTTTTAAAATGGATAACACAGTCCACAACATAGTGACTTCTTCCACAAAGCCATGACATAGATATTTAATATATTATAATTAGTGACTTCTAAGACTCCTAAAGAAAGGCAAGGGAACTATAATTGATAGCAGACTGTTTTTCCCTTTCCCTTCAACCAAAACTCAGAGATTATTACATAATTTTGTTGAAAGTCTTTATTTAGGAATTTCCAATTCTATATAAAAATTTTGAATCTCTTAAAAAAAGACAATTTATATTTAAAAATTATGTCAGATTTGCATCGTTATATTATTGCACTTTAGCTAGCAATGAGAAGCTAATACTTTTTATTTGCTTTACTTTCCATGATACCTGTTGAGTTACATCTAGTACTTTTTATTCTGTGAAAGGCCTAATAATTGTAATCCTGGACATGTAATAGAATAGGGAGAAGAGGTGGCACAAACAGGGAAAACGAAACCAAGTGCAGGCACCTCACATTTAAAAAATGCTAACTCTCCTCTCCATGTCACATACCTTTGTGGAACGTTGAAAAACACAGATGTGTGGGTATTGCTGAGACCTACCAGATTGGAACCTCAGGGGTAGAGCCTGGAAATCGGAAGCTTGAGAACCTCCTCAGGGCTTCTGTGTAGAGTAGAGGGCAGGGTAGAGGTCAACTGTGGTAGAAGGTTTTAAGAACTGTAATTCCTGCTTGAGTCAGGTCCCTGCTACCCCACCTTGTTGTCACTTGATGAGATTAGGGTCAGCAAGGCTGTGTTCCTTCTGTAGGCTGTAGGCAAGAATCTGTTTCCTTGCCTTTTCTCGCTTCTAGGGCCACCTATGTTCTTTGGCCCACATCACTCCAACTTCAGTTTTTATCATCTCGTCTCCTTTTCTGATCCTTCTGCCTCCCATTTAGGGGAACCCTTGTGATGACATTGGGTACAGAAGTTAAGGTGGCCTCTCCATCTCGAGATTCTTTACTTAATCACATCTGCACAATTCTTTTTGCCATGAGAGAAAATATTCACAGGCTCAGGGATTAGGACATGGACATTTTGGGGGCCACTATTCTGCTGACCCACAAGTGTCATCCCCTTTCCATTGGTGGTGCTGGTCTGTCTCTGCCCTTGACTTGAGTGACTGCTCATGGAACCTCTTCCTCCTGTTATTCTCCTGTGACTTCTGCATCCCCACCCCACCTGGTCATTGATGTCCTTCACCCTGGGAAGGCAACAGTAGCTAAACAAATGCAGTGCCCTCAACAGCTCAACATATTGGTCCTTCCTTTCTCCAGCCAGAATGCACACCTGCTCCTTTCCACCCACTTTGCTGCCTGAGAGTCCACTGTCCCCTCTACCAGACCCGCTTCTCCATCCTCTAAGCAGGGATGGGGAACTTTTTTTCTGCCAAGGGCCATTTGGGTATTTATAACATCATTTGCGGGCCATACAAAATTATCAGCTTAAAAATTAGCCTGCTGTATTTGGTCAAACATTTAATTAGCTCACCCCTAATGCCTTGGCAGGGCCAGACCAAATGATTTCATTGGCCTTATATGGCTTGCAGGCCTAGCATTCTAGTAGCTTTCCTTTCACGGCCACACTCAGCACCCTCCCCACTGAGGTTTATGTCATCTCATCACAACTTTTTCCATTTTTGTTACTTATGTGTGTGTGTGTGTATGTATGTGTGTGTGTATGTGTGTGTGTATGTGTGTGTGTGTGTGTGTGTGTGTGTGCGCGCTCACACAACTACCCTCCTGTGCCTTCCCTCTTCCCTGCCACCTTCCTCATGCTCCCTATCCTGTTGTCCATCCTTGGACATTCCACTGGTCACATAGTGCCTTGAGTACCTGACTCCCTAGTGCCCTGAGTGCCTCCACCAGGGACCTCAACTTCCTTTCAATTCAGTCCATCTGCTCCATGGCCTCACTTGTATAAGTCAAAATTGAACCTCTTCTGTAATGTTGAACTTTAGATTTCATCATCTAATCTTGTCAAGTGTCATTCCATGGCACCAGTTTTTCTTTTAATTAACACTTGTAGTTGTTAAATTCTTCCTTTTTCTCCCTTCTCACTTCACATCTGCCCTAGCCAGTCTAAGCCCCCTGGTTCTCTCATTTCAGCCATTCTTTTGTCAGGATTTTCAACTCCCTTGTGCTCCTGTCATCTTTTCCTAATATATGCCTCCCTAAATGTTAGCTCTGGGTGAATCATGTTTGCTTTAAACTTCTGTACTGAGGCCACCAAACACTGCTGGAGAAGAACCTCAAAGCCTTACAAATTGGTAGCCCTGCAAATCCATAGTTTCTGCCAAACTGGGCAGTTCCAGGTCATCCTTCTGGGTTGCCAGGCTGCGTGTTCCCTGTTTCCTAGGAGGGCAGTTCTCTAAGCCATTTCTTTCACTCCCAGCAGAAGGTAGTTATTCACTGCTGTCACTTCCTTAATGGATTAGGTGAGTCCCTCTTCCTGCAAACCTCACTCACCACACTTACCCTCACCCGTCCCTGTTGTACTAGAAGTAGTGCCCTCCACCTGTCCTCATCTCTTTACCTGTGCTCTGGATTGTTCCCATTTCTTCTTGTCTAGAGATCTCAGTCATCAGTAATCTCATGTCCTGATTTTAAGTTAACTCTGCTTCTCTTCTGAGCCTTTCCATTTAGAACACAAACATGCTTAAGTCTATTCCATCTTTAAGAAGAAAAATACTGCCCCTTTATTCTGCATTTTCCTCTCTAACTCATCTCCTTACTCCAGTCCAGCTTCTTGAAATTTTAGGCTGCATTTTGTTTTTCTCTTTTCTTTATTTTTCTAACCTTTTCCTACTCCAACTGCTACAACCTGGCCTTTTCTCCCACCATTGCCTGAAACTGCGCCCATGGAAGTGACTCCATGATTTCAAAGCCTATTAGGCTGCATCTTACTCTCACTCCATTCCAGAACTCTGTCAAAATAAGCTTCTGATTTTGCTTCTACCTAGCCACTCCTTGCCATGCTCTTCTGAAAGTCCTTTACATTGGCTATGATTTAATCGTAGGGCCCTTTTCTGCATGGCTCTCTGGCTGTCTCCTCTACCTCCTTAACTTCCATTCCACCCAGACACAATGTTCCTAACCTCCAGATCTTTCTCTTGGTCTTCCTCCTCACCTGGATGCCACATAGCTCTTAACACTCAGAGCATCCAAACCAGATTCATCTTCTCAGCCTCCTCGTCCTGGGCTCCTTGTCCCTGGGAATGGCCTTCTTTACTAGTCCCCTGTGGCCAGCTTGAGTCTTTTCTCTCTCTTTGCTCTATGTTTGACCATCTAGTCTGCTCCTTTTACCTCTTAATTCTTCAGTTTCTATTCTCTGTCCTTATCACTGTGGCCTTAATTTAGGAGTAAGTCCTGGCTTTATTTTTTCATATAAATTGTAGCAAGAGTTTCTTAAATGGTCTCTCTCTGTCCAGGCTGGCTCCACCTTTAACCTTGCCTGTACATTATTGTCATAATGATCTTTGTCAATTGCAGGTCTGTTTACCACTTTTGTATTTAACATTTTTTATTATTAATTTTTAGGCCATTCTGTGTGATTACCTGTAGGTGCATTTTGTTTCTTGGTAGAATTATAATCTCCTTGAAGACTAACGGGATTTCCTTTTTTGTTTTTAATTCCTTCCTGCTCTGTGGTTCTCTGGGAAGAGGTACATTTTTAGCACCTATTATTGGCTTGGTGCTTTTACATATGCTGCCTCACTAAATCCTTCCAGCTACCTTCCGCTCACTTTATAGAAGAAGGATTCTATGATGCACTTCTCTGACCCTTAGTTTATTTAACTGAAATTGGCAAACCTTCTCTCGGCCCTTCTTGGCGGTATTCATTCAGAATACTAGCCAGGCCCAGGTCTCACTAAACTTCACTGTTGTCAGGACTTGCCTTGGTTTGA